AAGCCCACAGCAACCTTGTTTGATCTCAGAGATGACCCTGCTGTGAGCAGGGGGCTGGCCTGAAGACCTCCTCTGAGGTTCCTTCCAACCTGAATGATTCTGTGATCCCAAGGAAGCAAATCCTCTGTTCAAGTGGCCCCAGGCTCTCAAAAGTTTCCATTGAGATCTGAAGCCAGATCACTAAAAGCAACTCTTCTTCTTACTGACAATGTCAGAGTTTACAAGTCCCGTATGGCTTACTTCCTACATCAAACAGGGATGAACTGAAAATTCATTGTAACCAGAGAGAAATATTCACTCTAGAAACATCAACTCCAGAAACCTGTCAAACATCAGATGAAATACTAGCAGTCTGGTAATACACAGAAGATGACTTTACTACTACAAAATTAATTACAGGATAAATTTTGAAACCAAATGATATTTAGAAGTCTATAATTCTTTCCTTAAATAAAAGGCCATGAATCATTTTGGAATTAGTTACCACACAAACTCAAATGTCATTCCTGCAAATTTATGGCCATGATTAAACTGATATGACTCTGTTGACTTCAAAATCTAATTTCAGTAGAGCTTATACCAGTTAGGATTTGTCCTATGATTCCAAACTATGCTTGATAAATTAAGGGGCATATACCAACCCACATATTTATCACGCACTGAAAAATGCAAAAATCCAACCAAGATAGCTTAGCATTCAGTAGCTATCACAGCTACTTAGCATTTGCACATCATAGAATAAACACCTTAATATAAACTACAGCAACTTCTCTCTGTCTTACAGGTATATGCCTAACACATTTTTGGATTTTCTCCATGAAAAACTGTAGAGTCCTTTTCTTCCCATGCAACTTTTTTTTAATAGCAAACCTCATTTCCAGATTTGTCATTGTGGTTAGGTAACATCCTACAACCCTCTCCTGTTGATGTTCCCTAATGTAAGCAGTTCTCCAACTTATCTGCTTGGCTGTGATACACAAGATCCTGGATCTCTGGGAGAGATCTGAGATCCCAGTAACTCCTGTTCAGCCATGGAACAACAGAAGGAAAGGCCTTCTTAAAGCTCACTAGCTACTGGAGCAAGTTTGTGACAAATTCCAACATTCCTCCTATGTACTGGCTACAGAGCTTTGATTTCATAATTGTGATCCACCAAAAATTTTTGTTAGTGCTCAGTCAGTTTTCTGAAAAGAAAAGGAGAATGAGATTTGGCAAATTCACAGTTATTAAATAAGGAAATTATAAAGATGTGCTTACGTACATGCAGGTTATGCTAGCAAGTCCATTAACGCATACACCTCGACAGTGTATATAAGTAGATATAATCAAATCTAAGAGATGTGTGTATCAGAGGAAAACAAGCTGAATATAAAACTGCAAAATGTTTTCAAAGTAGTTTCATCTAAGACACCACTTGCCTCTTGCTAGTCAAAGATCACGTCTCTGGGAATCCAGTGTTATGTATGTCCAGAATAAACACATCCAACTAGGACAAAATGCTTTGAGTGCATTACTGCACAAAACGAAAACAGTCTTAGCTAGTTTTCATAAGAAAGAATTTCACTGAATTTGTAGCAGTCACATACTTTTTGATGAAGTTGGTAACCAAGGATCTTAAAAATTACTAATTTTCAGTAACAGACTCAAATCCATCATTAAAACGTAATGCAAGTGTCAACTTTGGCCTAAGTAGCAATGTGAGGCTAAAGAGATTACACACCTACGATGAGTTCCTACAGGATGTGGAGCAATTTGGTTCCAATCCAGTGAAGTACTCAAGTTCACGCTGAACTTTAAATGCATGGGCAGTTCCCTTCAGATGATGGAACTACTTATATGTCTAATGTTAAATATGCCCTTAAGTGCTTTACTGGGTTAGGGCCAGAAAGCTCAGTACCTTGCAGGAATGAGTTCAGAGCAGAACATGCAGCAGTAGCATAGCAGGGAATTCAGGACCGCAAATACCTCAGGCTAAGTCCCTCTTGCAGCATACTATGGAGAAGCACAGTGCCAACACAGTGCAAATACAAGCAGCTGTGTGAATGCAGACAGGTAAGAGGATGTCTTGCCTAAAGGTAACCAGAATAATTACAGAAATCTGAAGAATGACAAGATCAGAAGGCAAACAAACTGACACTACTCCCTAACGTATACTCCAACTATAAATTGTATTCCTGCAGTGAAAAAAATTGCATTTTCAATTCCTACACAAACTGACAGTCCATGTCTGTGATCTGTGTACCTCATCCCATCACGCCTGAGCTCCAGAATTCAAGTGTACCCAGCAGAGAAGACTAAGACCCGCAGCACCCTACAACACTTGGCATCTGCAATGCAAAAGTCAGGATGACATTCAGCATGGTCCACCTGCCACAAACACCATACAGGTCTTGCACTCCAGGCAATCATGATGATGCAACACATTCATTTCTTCAGTATCAACACTGTCTTTAAAAAGACTGGGCTTTAAGGCACACGTTAAGTACTGTTGCTTGCTGCCGCTCCTACACACTGTACTGCAATGAACTTGCGACGGCTCCGTGCTACGAGGTGCTCCTTTCTAGCCAGAGACACTGCCAGCTACGGCACACACTTTTCCTACAAACTACCCACCGACGGACGCACTGCGCACCATCTTCCTGCCAGTTCTGAAGCCCGCCTGCTTCTGAGTCCAAGAAGAGAGTGTTCCACGTTTGCAGGGACTCCCATGATTTGGTGAGAGACAGTAGAAGGATCTGGACTAAAACAACCCAGAAGCAGCAGCATATGGGCCTGTCATCTCCAAACTTACTCTGCAATAGCCTAGCCTAACCTTCTGTAGTATAAAAAACATATTAAAGCTGAACTACATGCATTTATTTCTATGTTTATACATCATAAGCACATATAATTAGCTTAAAAAGGGAACATAATTAGCCATGTAATGTTACGAGTCATATTACTACATAACACACAGATGCCCTGCTATCTCACAAAATATTAAAATACCACTTTCCTGACAGTGGTAAACTGTATTTACTGTTGTGCCAAAATATCATGATTAATAACATCACCATAGCTAAGGACATAACGTTAAGCTAACAATCCTTTTAATAATTTTTAAAGTTGAGATTCTACAGCATCGTACCCAAATATAATCCACATCTCCAGGAGAGACAAGCCTTTTGGGACATGAAAGTAACTCTGGAGTCACAGGAGTGTGATCTGAATCAGACCAATCCTTAAACAAGTGGATCATTGATTTTTCATTTTCAGGCACTGGCAGGCAATGGGGATGGGGCACTGAGAGGAACACCAGCCAGACAGAAATACCCACCTGACCGTACCTGCGTTATGTTACTCTATGAAATCCATGAGACTCTTCTGGAATTTCTATGTGGGGCTTTGGAAAGTGTTTACAAAGGATCTGCTGCGCAGGGAGCCTTCTTTTTTTGGTGTTGGTGGTTTTTTTTTTTTCTGCTTTGCAGGCTTAGAAAGCATCTCACGAAGAAACTCCATGAGTAATTAGGAATAAGGAATACCAATTAAAGATCCAACTAGCAAATAGGTATTTTGGGGTGAGGATGAGACTTCAAATTCATTCAGCAAGTTTGCCTTGTGAGAGCACAGAAATCATGCAGTAAGCTATAAACTGACACGGGAAATCAAAGGATTGGCTCCGGCTGTGTTGCGAGAGTTTCACTATTTACTTCAGCACAGGTGTTTCACCCACATATGGGCTTCTCATTATACCTACGTCCTCTAACACTGGCAATAGCCTCACAACTCAGCAGGGAGATGAGCTGACTGAATCACATGTCCCCTCTAGTAGTTTGTATTTGGAAGAATCTCGATGCTGTGCTCTGCTACGGGATAGATTTGGGAAGCCAAGGAATGACAGTAAATCTACTGCACTTCTTTCAAGGAGTTTCTAACAAACTCCCTCATAACACAGCAAGGATTCAGGGGTTAAGCCGCAAAGTCCCTGGGTGGTGGTGGAGATGCAAAAGGCCAGGGCTTGCTTTATGATGGCTTGCTTGATCCCCTACGGTTGTCCCCGATACATTTCAGCATTGTTCCTTTTGCCACAGCTCTGAAAAGACTTCTGAGTGTGACTTAAAAACCTTGCAAAAGCACCTTGTCTCCTGAATTACATTTTTAGCTTCTTGAATTTCATTTTTAGTTCATTTCTTTACTAGCTACCATGGCCACAGCAAAGCCGGTAGCCTTGCCCATCCCACCCTCCATGTGCACAGCTCACCCTCAAAAGGAGGAAGGAGCTGAAGAGAGAGTGTTAGAGAAGTAGGTGACCAGGGGATCTCCATGGGATACCACTGCCTGTGAAAACGTAACCACTGCAACAACAAAGACATATCGCCTATTGCAGTCTGCTGCACATACAAATTTGGGGGGGTGGCTGTGAGCCCTCTCAAGCAAGGCCAATCCTGGGAGGTTTGGGAAACACCTACCACCGAACAAGCAACCATAAATAACTAGTGAGCAATGTGGATAACAACACACACAGCCCAGTGCACAGGAGTCAATTTGATGGGCTTTTTTCCATTTCTGATGTAGCTGCAATGACATGAGATGTGAATGCACCGAATAAGGTAGGAGATGCTTTATCTAGGCTGCACGGAAAATACAATGAAGTATCCTAGGCAGAAAAGGGCACGTTGAGCAAGGAGCCTGAGACTCAGGCCTGACCCGGTATGCCCTGAAGTGTTCCCTCAGACATGTCTTTCCCGAGATGTAGGTGGGAAGGACACTCCAGGATCTGGTAAAGAATTTTTAGTAACGGAAGCTTTTTAGAAACAGAAAGTGGCGCAGAAATCTTTAGGGTTGATGGAGCCAGGGCTGATGCACATAGCCTGGTGCGGCTCTGAAGTTCCCTGTGAACTTCATGTGCCTTCAGGTTAGGGACACCCCAGGAGTCATGCACAGTGACACCAGCCACAACCACAACAGTGTCAACAACTGCGTGCAGGACGAAAGCTTAACAAAACGATGCCCAGACTTACACAGCTCTCCCTGTTCATGCTGAAGTGCGTGAACGCACAGGCTTGGTCCTTCATCTCCTCCATCCCGAAGATGCAGACAGCGGTGTCATTCCAGGCTTTGGTGCTGCGGCTGTGGCGGAAAACACCCACCCACCAGCCCCGCTCGCCCTGGCGGACAAGGCTGGAGGAAACAATGAGGCTCCTGCACCCGCACTCCAAATACACGTGCCCTTGCAAAGTAAGACCACCCTCTAATGGGCGCAGCTGGCGCAGGACAGCCATGCTTGGTGGCTCCATGTCCTCACTGAACTTGGCCTTCAACCTGTAGTAGGGAAGGAAGAGGTGATTCCCCCACTGGAGCGCGTCGACAAAGTGCAAAGGCTCCTCCTTGCGCTTGATGATGCCCAGCTCCTCCTTGGACTCCAGGTTGACCATGCTGCGCACGGTGATGACGGTCGCCTCGTCCGACTGGGAGGGCTCGCAACCCAGGTGGTTCCCGTAGCGGCCGGCCGAGTAGGTGGCCGCCACGGCCAGGGACCAACAG